ACATAAACTTTTGGGATTGACTGTATAGCCAATACATCCTTAATCAAGTCAGTAGAAAATTTTTAAAAGTGCGAGCAGTTTTACAAATAACGAAATCGGCGCGAGAAAGAAGTTTGCAGAAGCGAAGCAGAATCTTGATCTCGTCACGGTATGTACCGTCGTCGCGTGCCGAGTCACATAAATCTTTGATAGAGACGTTGAAGAGCATCGCGTGCGTGCTCGTACGTCCACGCTTTCAACGACTCCTGGCACGAGTCGCGGGATACCAGCAGGTAACGACGACTCGTTTATGGCTAGTGAGAAAACAGTAAAGTGAAAAGATACACGTGCGAAATGAATGCGTGCGATCGGAACCCTGGGCGGAGTTTCTTGGAACGGTTTTATGAAAACTGGCTGGATTCGCCTGGCTAATCTCAGTTGCGCGTAGGTGCCTATATAACGATGGATCTCACGCTGGCCCGCGCAGATCTATCGCCAGTTTCTCGAACCCAGCATCTTTTGCCGGCTATCAGATAGACCTTCCAATCACGAACGTGCTATCCATTTGGAATGAAGTGGAAGAAGCTTTTGGTATGGGGGATGCTAAAATCTTTTTACTAACTTTTAATGAATCTGACTTTTGACGATAGATTTGCAAAGTTTCTTTTGCCTATTTCAGTACGCTCTCGCTTTGTCGGTGCTGCTCGTTTCGTTTTGCCGGTTCGCCGAGTCGTGAGTACCTCGATAATTTATAATCGATCGTTTACAGTATACGGTTCTATTTGCTAATTCCTTTACGTCTGCAGCAAGAAGGTGATCATCCACGTTCCCTATCGAGTGAAGAACGTAAAACACGTCCACACGATTTACAAAATAATACCGCATTATCACGAGGAGAAGGAGGAAGAGATAGAAGAAGAGATAGAGGAAGACGATAAATATGGATCTTACTAGGGACAATTTTAATCTATATTCGTATAGAATTCGCACACGCCAGATATGTAAACGTGGAACCCAATGAATAGTCATTAACTCGTACGAGATTACTTAAGCTGTACAAATAGCATTCATCTAATGTAGAAATTTGTATAAACGAATAAATATATTTTGCTAACGCCAAGTTCAATCAAATCTATCTTAAAAGCATGGAAAAATCTGTGATCGCTTTCAAATGGATAAATCGGGAAAAAGCGTGACTCTGAGACACGTTCGAATTTATTCGATTTCCGTACGAGGCGCGGCGACAATGAACTTTCACGATCGCGTCGCGGAAAAAAGCGCGGCATCTGATCCGTCAGCGCCAGGCGAAAGCGTTTACTCGTCCGTAAAATTTCGATCGCGCTTCTACGGGGTGGATCGACCGCGATAGATCGGGATACTTATAAAGGGGGATTATCCTCTCAGATGTTAAACGACACTCGACTGCCGATCCACGGATTCGTCAACGTTCCAGTTATGGTAACGACGCGTAACGACTAAGTACCGATTTCGCGCGACCACTGCTCATATATTCGTCGATCTTTTCAGAGAGTTCTCAATTACTTGTGCCTCGTTCTGTTGAATCAAGTGACGAACTATGGAGGATACGCGAAGCGGTAAGCGAAATCGAACTCCTCGTTTTCGCCGGCGACTCATTTCCCTTTCATACGTAGAGTACACCTAAGGATCGTGGTCCCGGACGTGATCAACCATCGCGTGCACACGCGGACCGTTCTCCTTCATCTCCACGTGCCGGTTCCGAAGAAACCGCCGCCGAAGAACCACCACAAGCATGAATATCACACGAACTGGAGTTCCTGGAGGTACGGACGGTACCATGATTATGAACACGAGGGGGAGCCTGAATTGGACCACGAGGATCATCACATGGACGAGAAGGAGAAACCGAAGCGCCGGCAAAAGTATTTTCCCGTTACCGATTATCACAGGGGTTCGTACTCACCGTCGTACGTCGACGACAATGACAATAACGTGGAGGAGAAGGAGCGCGATTCTTATGCGGTCCATGAAGACGTGAACGACATACCTCCGAACACCGAGACCATGTCTTACAACTACGAAGAGGGATATAAGAAAGGCCTGGAGACGGAAAGCGGGCACTTAAAATCGGATCAGATGCATAAATTTCACGAGGACCTGCGCGAGGAAGAGGGCGACGCGGAGGGCGGAGGATTCAAAGAGGATTTTCGGATGAAAACCGACGCCGGGAGATACATCGTGGACGACGCGGAGTACGAGAACACCAGAGACAAGCGTGAACGAGCGAGATCTAAAACCTAAGGCCGTCCGTAGAACGTAGACTGGATAGATCGTACATAGTTTCAGGTACACACGCAATTTATTCAATTCCTCCGCGACTCGATTGCAACGATGCGTGGATCGTTCGAGCCGCGGTAGACGCAAACGATAGATACAACGGAGCTAAAGAAAACAACGAACAACGAACAAACGAGTAACGATATCTATGTACATTAAGACGGTGCGAACGGTGTGAGACTAGGACGAGGAGAGAAAGTACAAGGTAGGAGGGTAAAGTCGATCGGCACTCGCCGCGAGACACCAGTCAGAGATAAAGATAAAAAGAAACGTGTGAGAAAATATCGTCGCGAAATAATTTTCCTTGGAGGGTCGAGGCGTCGAGCGACGGAGGTGCGGCAACTGGATACATTTCTTCGGACGAGAATATTATGTTCCGAGAGGCTGATCGAACTTCTCGCAAGTTCTCTCGCTACCGTACTCTTCTCGCGCGATTTGCTTCTCAATGTCCACCCCAGTCTTCGTGTCCTCCGCCGCCCATGCCTATGCTTCCTCCCAGTTCGTGTCCTCCGCTGATGTCACCGCCACCTCCGCTACTGAACTCGACGTGACCGTGACCGCCACCACTCATCATTCCACCGCCTCCGCTGTATTCGATGTGACCGCCGCCGATATCGCCACCTCCCCCGAGCTCGTGACCACCGCCGCCGCTTTCCAAGCCGCCAAAACCCTCGAGGCCGCCACCACCGTGATGACCTAAATCTATCGGGTGGCCCACGGTGTACCCTAACACCTCGTACTTATCGCCACCTCCACCACCGTGATGGATATGTTTCGTGATCGTATGGGTATGGTGTATGGTTTTAATCTTGTAAGGCACGTGGATCACCACGTGGTCGCTGAAATAGTCGTTTCGTTAGGTAGTTCTCACTCGATTGGTAGATACGAGCCGATGTTGCACGGCAAACGAAACTTACTGATGTCCGTGATGTCCTCCCGCCGAAACCAAGTGGAGTAACGAGACGAACCCAAAAATGATCTAGAAATCGTGAACGTTCGACGAATCGTTATTATATGCACTTTCGACAATTTTTCGCGTCGCGGTTCCTTTCGTCTGCGGTTCCCGTTGGAAATCCAACCCACGGGTACACTTACCGCGATATTTGGCATCGTGGCGCACACTTTCGGGGACGCGTCGTTCAGAACGAAGAGAATCCAAAGCAGGAAAGCGAGGTATCTAACAGAGCTCGTAACGGAGGAGCGACTACCGGTCCCACCTTGGCGATACAGTTTTGATCTGTTGTCGGTGGTGCAGGCGGTTGCCGCTTTTATACGCACGTACGCGATTGGAGTCGGATAAGAATCGAAAGGGAATCTTTTGCTACGGTTGCACGTGAAAGGCTGGACCGTGGTATACGGTATACGTAGCAAAAACCAGAGATCCGCCACGCCACAGCCCGTTCACCGCCACCCTTCGCGTCTGTTCGTGCAGTCTATCGTTTTGCTCGTTTCCTCTTTTTCATGGATACTGGACTCGAAGAATCTCTGCCGGTACTCCGCACTCCGCACCCTCGCGCGGCACCGTCGTTATCTATTATTTTCAATGAAAGTTGCTACTGGCGACTGCCACTTGATTCTTGGCCGTTCACCCGACCAAGATCAAGATCACCGTCGTAATATAAGGCGGTCCGTTTCACTCTTGTCTCTGTAAACGCGATGCCTCTCGTTTTCTATCTTACGCCTATGTTTCAATTTAGTTATGCATCGTACAACGTCCGATTAGGCATAAATAAACGAATAACATTTAACGTCGACGCGTTAATTGATCTACCGCAGCGTTACGTTCGTCAGGTCATCAACCTAATCGTAAGGTCTATCGATTGGTCAGCAAACTTTCGTAAAGCTTGTTTCCTGTTCGATGATGGTTTTAGTAATTAGGTGGATTATGGTAATTCGATGAAAGCCGTGTTCGCGTTATCGATCTCATCTCGAGAGCGTTTCCCATCGCATTACATCCGATATCTCGAAGCATCTGTATCACGCGCCGGCAATAATTCGCCGTTCGTTCATTCTCGTTACCAGCTTCCAGTTTCGCTCTTTCGCGTTTTCGGACGAACAACGGGAGATCTTATCGAGATTATCTGATGCGAATCGTGAAACGTCGAATACCGAATTGATCATAGAAACGAGAGTTTAGCGTCTCGAGGAATCGTTTCGCTCGGCTTTCGACTATTCGTTCCTTTCTTATAAAATCGAATTCTACCCGATAACATTTTTTATTTGTAAAATGCAATGTTTAAACGTTTTAGTTGCGAGATCGATGACATCGTGAAGTAGAAGAGAGTGACGTATTTTCATAGCGTTACGTGCTTCGGACCTGAGAACAAGGTCCGGGACAGGTAACGAACTTCCTCGCGGCTGAGAGCGTTCGGACTGGTTTCCAAGTTCTTGTAGATGTACTAGTACACACACTTTTACGTACGTATGTACGTACCTACAGTCGAACGGCTGGATTACAGCTGTGCACTACCTTGACCGCGACTTATCGCTCGAAGACGTAAACTTGATCTTGAACTTGATCTCGGGTGAACGAAGGTGCATACTTGACTGTACGCGGAATCGCTCCGTTCTTTAACAAATAAATAAATTTTTATGCATAAACGTTTCCCCTTTCTCCCGACAAGTTTGGAACAAACGATCGACGGACGCGCTTTAAGAGAGGAATCTGTTGAGGAAGTTCCACGTGGAATATCGTGTGCACCATCCGTGTCGAACCAGAAGTCGATCGGAAAGGGAAATCGATCGTGAATGAGTTGGAACGAAAAAAAAACGAATAAGAACGCTGCGTCGTTATCCTTTTGTACGCGGATTACGGAATGCGAGACCGTGACACTGAACTCTCTCCCTCTATTTGTCTCTGCTTGTGTCGATCTCGTCCGATTTTAACGTTTGATGAAAACATTCCAGACAAAAAAAGAGCAGAAATGAATTTCTCCCATGGGAAGTTCTAATTTCACGGACATTCATCTTTTAACTTTTCTCGTGGAATTGGTAAAAATTCTCTGGTAATAACATGCTGCAATATTGTGAAATCGGGAAGTTCTCTCTACGAGTCCAGATGGTTCCAGCTGTTTTTATTACATTTCTAACGATCGTGGGTTGGATTTGTTCGGATAGAAAGCGAGAGGATCGGCTTCGGAAAACCTTCGATATTCGATCGTTCGCCGGTCGTCGACTGCGATAATTTCGTCCAATCGAACGGCGGCGCGGCGCGGGGTGACAGCTTAGCGATAGTTCAGTTTCTTGTCATCTCTTTCTCTTCTCTCAAATTCGTATAATCCTCCTAGAAACATTGCCACACGACTGCCTGCTTTTCTTTAGAATGCTTAAATCACAATTAATCGGAGCTGCATATTTCGTGTCATGCTTCAAATAAAAATTGACGAGACAACAACGTGTGGATCAAGTTCGAGGCTGTCGAATTCAACGGAGCCAATCTTCTCACGTTACGGCGACCCGCTTTGTCGATCGAACGTATGTCCTATCCCTGCGTTTCGCTATCGTCCGCTCTATCCCACAGGTATAGACTGATAGACTGTTCTTTCTCTCGCTCCCTTTCGTTTGATAAATGTAGAACGGTGGCGTGGTTCTTGTTGGTCGCGTTTTGGAAAGCGCAGAGACGAGGCGCGGTCGTTTTACGCGCGAACCAGGTTGGACGCGAGCGAACGTCTAGGGTCTACGAGAAGAAGAAAGTGTCGATTTCCCCGCGAATAAAAATTGCTACTAAAACGGGCGCGGGGACGTCGAGTGCTCGGCTGTCCGTTTCATATCGGCACGCCAATCCTTTTTCCTCGTTTTTCGCGTTGCATAGATACAAGCCGGATGCGAACGATCTCTTTTGAGGGCTCGGCAGCGGCGGCAGCGGCTGGAACGGTGGGAGGCGATCGCTCCGGCCACGCGATTATGCTCTTTTTATCTTCTATAAAAGAGAACAAGCTCGCACAGACCTCCCGCAATTTGTCCGCATCGGCTTTGCTGTCCAGTTCGACTATCCAGTGCGACTGCTCCTCCTCAAGAATCTAATTGTAAACCGCGCGGCCGTCGTTGGCAGTGCCGCGTATTTTCGTGCATCTCGGACCGAGGCTCGATTTCGCAACATGCAGTATTCGGTAAGCGAATTTACGGCTTTGACTAATTCATTTCGATGATACACGTTTTGGTGGGAAAGTGATGGAAGTAAGGACCGAATCGTGATCGATATAATTTACAGGCTCTCTGCATCGTCTTGGTGTTAGCGATCACCGACTCCGTGTTCGTCCAGGCACAGCCGTAAGTACCGCGACGACCTATCGAACTCGGACGGATTATACGAATCGCGCGTTTCGTTCTACAGGGACAAAGTGATGCTGGTGATTCCGCAACGGGCGAGGCGAATGGGCGTGACCTCCTTGCGACCGGTGATATCGCGTTACAGGAAATCATCCCACGGCGGGGAACTCGATCATCGAAGATATCTGTTCTATCGTCAAACGAAGAGACCCGGGTATGGAAAACCGGTGTTCCCTCACGGCGGTGACGACTTCGATCAAGGTTACGAACACGTGAACCACGTCCACGTTCCATACGGAAAGAGCATCAGCCACGCGCTCTCTTTCGGAAAGGGTTACATTCCCTACGATCGCATGAAAGTCAGGGGCAGCTTTTCCTTCGGTAGCCAGAGGTAACACGATCGATTGAAACAATGTTCTCTCACGATTCTAATTACGGATCTTTCGATGCAGGCAACCGGGGGCGCAGGAGCAGAAGAACTCGGAGCCGGAATATTCGTCGAGCGCGTACGCTTCGTCCGGTAGCGGCACTAGCTACTCGTCCTCGGGACCATCGTATGAATCTTCGCCCTCAGAATCGGAGACGCTCTTCTCGAGTCCGGAAAGCGCGATTAGTTACAACGAAGGGTCGAACGAAGATGAAAATCAGAAATTCTACACATCGAGATCTATCGAGAAGGACACGACTGCGAACAATCCTATCGATCTCCGAGGCAAGGAACAACTGTATTTACTGCAGCAGAAAGGGACTAGCGAATTTTACGAGAACGCAGGTCCCTCGCAAAGCGGTGGCGTCTCATTACCGTCGGGTATACCTTCGCCTACGATCGGCGGTAGCAAAGATGGAATCGTATTGAGGGATTCGGTGGCTCTGGACGATTATCGGCAGAAGGTCCAAGAGATGACTAAGTCCTGGTCGCAATTTATGCAGAATCCATCCGTGGCTAATTATAACTTTCAGAGTCAACCCAGCGGAAGTTACTCGTTCGCGTACGGGTCACCGGTCAACGTCTACGGTACTTATAGTTGGCCGGTGAGCTTCGCGCAGCCGAAGCAAGGTTACGCCGTAAAGGAAGACACGATGGAGTCGTCTCACGATTTTCGAACGATGCCTGTTAATACATCTCCCTATCAGACCGGCACCGTTCCCATGAATGCGCAGATATCGGCTCTAGGGGTCACGCAAGCGCTCCTTGGATAAAATTAAAGTCGATCCTCGAAAACTTTTTTCTTCAATCGCGCATAAATGAAACGACTGTTATGCTGACATGCATGGAGCTACCGTGACCCCATGTGCAACTATTTTACGAAAGTTAGATGTATATGTATATGTATATATAAACGAAGAACGGTTTCGCGTTTGGATGATGACTGGGTAGAGTAGTTAAGCGAATTCATGTTTAAATTATTTACGCTGTATAAATATTCATTAACGATAGTTGGAAATATACGTGTAAACCTATTTCCCAATTTGTCTGCTCACCTAACGGCAGCTCCGACGGAAGTCGGAGCTCGATCCGCGCGGCACGGCGATCCGACACCGACGACGAGATGCGAATGCTCGAGAGGGAACGCATCTTCCCCGCTTACTTTCGCTCGGCGAGGTCCGATGACCTCGAACGACTGTAAGAGTGTAAGTTCGAAAGTCGAGAAAGTCGCTCCATCCTCTCGATCTCTTGCTCCTCCGCCGCTCTCTTCGATCCGGAGAAAGAACGGGCTTTATTATCCGACGACCGGTTCGCGTGTAACCTGGAAGGTTAATGTCGCGCGCGATTCCGTTCACCTTCGTTTTGCGCCGCCGTCCACTCTACGAGTGATTATTTAGATAGTATTAAATTAGTAAGGACCAGTCTCCGAAAAAATAAAAAGGAATCTGCGCAACGATGCCTTTGGATTTATTCAAATTTTCCGGTAGCATCAGCAATTTTCCCTTTCGTCGAGTCCCAAACAACTGTTCCTCTCTTATTTTCCGGTTTGAGATAATGCCATAGCACGATTTCTCGGAAACTTTCATCGAATTAAAACTGATTAACGAGCATCCGTTAATTACGGTCGTTTGCTCGATAACAGGAGGGACACGTTCATGTGTATTACGCGAGACGAGCGCGCGGCGGATCTCTTAAAAGCGGAAAAAGTCGCGTACAGGAGTAATGACAGTAATTTGCTTTTCGTTCTGTCGCACTGTCTCCCGGGCTCGACGGAAGTACTTTTCCGTGTATGCTCCTCGAAAGGAAAGCGTCAAGCAGAGCGTAATCGATGATTAGTTTAATCAGGATCGTTGAAAGGGTTGACATTATTTTTCAACATCATCTGATTCAAACGCAGTGATGAATTACGGTGAAATTAAAAAGTTTTAAAAATTGAAATGCACAGGTCCAGCAAATTCGTCAAGTCCGCGATCTATCCACCGTTGTTCCTTCGTATTCGAGCAAAATGCAAACTACGCGTGGTAGGAATCTCGTAAGAGAACTTCCGATTCCTCGAAAGTGGAATCTCTCCGGAGGTCCGAACGCGAAAACATAAGAGAAGTGAAAGGGAAGCGGATTCGTCTCGCGCGAAACTTTTCGATCTCTCCCCTCGCCTCTCCCCGATCATTCACTTGGTCGATGTTCTCTTTCCGAGGTTTTTTTTGCTTTCTATTTCGTTCTCCAACATCGACCGATCTCTTCAGGATCATCGCGCTCGCGGTTCCCACGCATCGCGAGCGGAACTTCCGGTTGTTCGGTCTTTGCGGAGACTCGAAAGTTCACCTGCTCTTGAACGTCGAGTTCGACGGTGAAACTGTAGCTCCAGTTCGTGAAGGTGCGGTGTCGATCGAAGATCGATACGATCGCTTTCTTTCCTGCGAATAGTTTTACGATTGGAAGCAACGATGCCATCCGATCCGCTACCGTTCTCTCGTTCCCGTTTCGAATCGGGAATCTGCCGCGTTCCCGTTCAATTTCACCGAGCACCTAACGGGCATTCATCGGAGATAGCGCTTCATACACGTTCCACTTACACTTTAGAATTCAGAGTTCAGGGATCACGACGGAACGCCGTCTGACCAGTTCGCTACATTTCTACTTCCTACGCTGCGACGAGATCCAGCAGTGTTTCATTCTTTTTTCTCTGCGTGAGAATGAGAAACAACGAGGCAAGCAATTAAATGCAAGAATGTTAACGCTTCCCTGAGATGGTTTTTCCATCAGGGAAATGCCTGCTTCCATCGTCCGAATTAATTACTCGACGAATGCCGTTCCGATCTCGCTCTTAGATAACGTTCACAACTCGAACGTGCAAACTTATTAGTAGAAAGAATGCTGTCATTTGCACAAGGGAAAAGTTTACTCTCTTCGATTCATATGTGAATGCGTCGCGTCATCCGATTGTGAGGCGCGTTCTCTCCGCTTGATTTTGTTCTGGAAATCGGGGAAAGCGTAGTCAAATACAAATTCTACGTTCGTCGATGTATGAAAGCGAAATTCCTCTTTATCTCCCGTGATGCGTGAAAATCGAAACGATACAGCTGTCCCAATGTTGCGCCACGAAAGATTTTGAGCAGCTCCAGGATACGAGACTATGGGAATTCCATTATAGATTATGAAACATCATTCTCAAGTAGGAATCATTCGTTTAAAAGCCGAAAATGAGAAGGTCGAATCACAGGTTCTTTTGTCAAGGTTCACCCGGAAGGGACACGTGGAAAAGTGGCCAGGAGCGTGAATTTCTCCGGTGGACGACTGTGTAGGTCACGGTCGTTGCCGTTGTCCCACGCACACGAGCGAACGCGACACGTTCAGGGCCTGGAGCCTGGATCGCCAATTCGAATCGGGGGCACCCGGTGCGCGATGTGCAGCTGGAGCTCCAACACGATCCGAGTCCTCCACCACTGGTTGGATGCCGATCTTCGTCATCTCCCCACTTGGTCTCGACGATCTTCCGGTACGTCGGTCTTGCTATTATATATACGGGATCCTCGCCGAATACGCGATAGGACGGTGCGTTCATTGCGTTCCTGATCATCGACGAAGAAGGACCATTCCGCGAACTATGCGGCCGCAAACCAGTGTAAGAAGTGACGAGGACACTTTGGGCGACGGATTTTCGTCGTTCCCATCGTTTCTTTTTATTTTCCTATCTTCTTTTCGGGATACGTTCGAATCAGAGTGCTCCATCAGTGTCGGGACAGTTCGGTTTTTAGAACAGCAAGGGATAGTCGATTTCACGATACTCGGACCGATATAAAGTTTGGTAGAATAAAAGTTGTGTTTCTCGATCGGGATCGATCCAACGACACGTTATAATAGCATTCGAATGAAACAGTCCTTTAATGCGTACGTAAGGGGAAACGACCGGAATAGATTTTATAAAAAGGTTTGTTTCCAGATCAAGTGGTTGTTCTTCGCGGCGACGTTGACCGTAACGCTTGCTACGTTTGGGAAAGAGCAGTAAGTACACGCTTCACTCATCGAGGTCAGTCGGATCATTTTAAATCCCGTTGTAATTTTTCAGTGTGCATATAAGAATCCACTTGCCGGAACCGGTCCACCACGAAGAAACAAAAGTGATTAAGTACGAGGATCACGGTGGACACGGACACGGTCACGGCGGAGGAGGCGGGGGTGGCGGACATGCTATAATAGTCACTTCACCCAGCGGTCCCGGAGGTCACGGCGGAGGAGGAGGATTCGGTGGTCATCACGGAGGTGGATTCGGAGGTGGTTTCGGAGGCGGCCATGGAGGTGGCGGCGGTTTTGGAGGTAAATTTCGATCAAACCTGGATTCGTCGTTAAACGTTAAATGGAAGCATTTTAAAGAGAGCGCGGTTGCACAGGTGGTCACGGGGGAGACATAATAATATCTGATGGTGGTGGCGGTCATGGTGGTTTCGATGATCATCATGGCGGTGGAGGATTCGGCGGAGGAGGTTTTGGCGGAGGTGGTTTCGACGATCATCACGGTGGAGGAGGATTCGGAGGCGGTGGAGGTTTCGGAGGCGGCCACGGAGGTGGCGGTGGTTACGGAGGTAAAAATTTGATCGAATTTCGATTCGTCGTTAGATATCAAATGAAAGAATACTAAAGAGAGCGAGATCGTACAGGTGGACACGGCGGAGACATAATAATAGCTGGAGGTGGAGGCGGTGGCGGTCATGGTGGTTTCGATGACCATCATGGCGGTGGAGGTTTTGGCGGAGGAGGTTTCGGCGGAGGTGGTTTCGACGATCATCACGGTGGAGGAGGATTCGGAGGCGGTGGAGGTTTCGGAGGCGGCCACGGAGGTGGCGGCGGTTATGGAGGTAAAAATATGATCGAATTTCGATTCGTCGTTAAATATGAAATGGAAGCATATTAAAGAGAACGCGATCGCACAGGTGGACATGGAGGAGATGTAATAATAGCGGGTGGCGGTGGCGGTCACGGTGGTTTCGACGAGCATCACGGCGGTGGAGGTTTCGGCGGAGGTGGTTTCGGCGGAGGTAGTTTCGGCGGAGGTGGTTTCGACGATCATCACGGTGGAGGATCGTGTTACGACGGTGGAGGAGGTCACGGTGGTGGCTATGGTGGAGGCGGCATAGAACACCATGCCGTTAGCAACGCTATATCTTCCGGATTTGGTAGCAGGTAACGTGAAATAATTTGTCGATCGAACGCCATTTTCTGGATCGATCGATTGTATGTTCAAACGATGGTACTCGTTCCAGCGGACATGGTGGCGGTGGCGGCGGATACAGTTCGGGCGGTGGCTACGACTCGTATTCGAGTGGACATGGAGGCGGTGGTGGCGGAGGTCACGGTGGCGGTGGATTCTCTGGTTACCATAAGAAGAAATAGAAGCGTCGAATCGATCGAATGGTCCCGTTACCCTTAGATTTTAGGCAGACTCGCATCGCGCGAGCACCTGCACTGTTGCCAGTACGTCTCGATTTCTAGCGATAAGTCGTTTCCTATTTCGCTCTTCTCGAGAAGCTCGTTCATCGTTATACGCTGTTTTTAGAAGCTGCGCGTTCGTACACGTATAAGTATCATTCTTCGAAGGGAATCGGTACCTATATTCTATAATTACGATATTCGTCGCCTAACAGATTTCTGTTTTAAAACTCGACGATGTTGTACTTACGAACGACAATTGTTTCCGCAGCTGTACTTAAACGATTACATCGCGTGCGTTTCGCGATCGTCAACTCGTTACCGTTATCCTGTTATGTACATATATACGTACTGTCGTAAGTCATGTAAATACTATTGTTTACTCTTATCTCTAATAAACTTTTTGTACGTTTTCTAAATTCCGACCTCTTGACATCCCTCCAATAAAACGACAGCAACGTTTCATGGGACGAAGAAGATTTACCGTTGCTCGTTCAAGGATTAATTATCGTGTGAGGCAATTAATTATTGGAGAAATCCGACGCAATGCTAACCTGCGTTTTCCTTGAGTAACGGGTTCGAGAATTTTTTCGGGAAGTTACCCATTGGATCGGGTGCACGGTTCGAAATGGAAAGTAAGCGGAAAGTGAAAGAGAACAGATGTTACGTTTCGTGAAGGAGGACCACGATTTCACTCGTGTACCGGTACCGAGGACAAAATAACGAGTAAGAACGTTGCCCTCACGCCGCAATGATCGCGAGACCCTGTGTGCAATTTGTGCGAAACACATCCTTTTCGCATATGTTTGTCAAACCGAAAAAGCATTCAAGTACATTATACATAAAATATGCCAATTTCGGAATGATCGGGTGAAAGATATGAAAGTAGAAACCGTGACGGTACGATGAAAATTGATGAGATTCAACACTATTGCATACATGGATCATGGCGCGAAGAAAATCAGAAATATCGAAGTTCAATAAACCGGTGAAAGCGAAGGAATGTTCATAAATTCGTATTCGTACACGCTTTATAACCGATCGTCTTGATTGGAATGCTAACTGAATTTTCTATGGTACTATGATTCTATGCTGCAAAATATCTGTATCCCTTCTGAAATCCTGTTACGGTAATGAGCTACATGTACATAAGCCTCGTAACGTGTTCCTGTTACAGTAACAGAAGACAGAGAAAGCGAACACCGTCAGCTTCCAGAAGGATCGAACGCTTTCGTTGGGTCGTTTCACCATTTTTTTCAATGATAACTATAACGCCGATCGATTACAACTTTCTATCTATTCTGGATTTAATGCTTGTGGCTGCCGACGTAACGGTATGAAAGAGAGGACTCGCCACCGCGTTAAGCGATGGATCATCAACGACACGATTTAATTTAGAAAGAAAAGTCCAGAGAAAATGTAACTGGACATAGTTGTAAAACGATCCCTTTCACGACGAGGGAGAGAACCAAAAGGATGGGAGGGGCTTGAGAAATTTCGCGTAATCTCGCTAGTGAGAGCGATCGCGGGGTTACTTAGGTGGGGTGCAGTCCGGAACTATTTCGCTCTTGCTCTTATTCCCATACCATTCACCGATTTTGCTTCCGTTTATAAGGCTTGTCGGGATTCCGGCTGTTAGTTCCGAAGCGCACCGACCACGGACACGCTCGCACTCTCGAGGCAGGCATGGCGAAACTTCGACCTCAAGTGGGTGTTGGTGTTCCTCTCCTCTACCGAATTTCATCGTTTCCAAAAAGTTCTTATCGCCGGCATTCATTATCTTTTCAGGTTTTACTTTTCGTCCTGGCAGTTTCGATCATCTTGGTAACTTCGATACCAGCACCCGATGGTGGCCATCACGAACAGTAATTACATTGCCGATTAACTACCGCTCGTGTGCGTGAATCTCGTGTTTGACAATGTTTTCCTGTTTCAGCACGCATTTCATAATCCACGTGCCGGAATTGATTCACAAGCATTATCACACCCACGTGAAGAAGATTCACATAAAGCATCACGACGAGGGCGAAGACAATCACAAGCACATAGAAGAATGGTGACATCTCTCACCCTGTTATATTTGTTTTAATATCGTATTGTTGCCGTTTACTTAAACGTACGAATTGTTATCGTTATCGTTATCAGTCGTTGTTGCGTCGCCGCGACGGCAGCACGGATAAATTCCGTTTTGCCAGATCGGTGGAAGGGAGAAACGGGAGTCGGAAAGCACGTGCATTTCTTAAACGTGTGTATTGTACATGTAAAAAAATAAAGTAACATGATACAGTATGTACAAGTATCTTTCCTCTACGAGTACCTGCATGTGCATACCAGGTACGTATAGTAGTGAATAGTAATCGCTCTATGTATATTACAGACTTAAACGACTAATGCTGGCTCGTCCGAGTTATCAGTTCCCTTCTCCCACCTTCCAGTCTTTAGATTTCCGATTCTAGAACATTCGCTGTCAGGAGTGAATTAGCGAAATTTTCTTTAACTCGGTCGACCTCGCTTTACGACCTGTAATACGAAATTCTTTATACGTAACTGCATCGATGATATTCTCTTCGCATCCCTTCGAAAAATTCTGATCGATGTAACTAAGATTGAAATCTTTCATCGAAATCGAAACCCGCTCTTCCGCTAATTACCAATTACCTAATCGACGTTGAGTCGAAGAGAGCGGTCGTTTCGTATCAGTTACCACCACTTCTTCTCCTCGTGAACGGGCACGGGAACGTGAACCTTCTCGATGACCGGGACGGGTACATGCACCTTCTCGACGTGATGCACCGGCACCGGGACGTGCACCTTCTGCACGTGGTGGACGGGAATCGGAACGGGAACGGGTACCTTCTCGACGTGGTGCACGGGTATCTTCTTCACATGATGGTGATGAACCGTGTGCACGTGATAAGGTACATGGATACGGACGTGATGATGCGAACTGAAATTAGATTGTTCTTCTTCCTTTCAATAACCATCGTCGCCAATCTTGCCTTGAGATACGGCATGCACGTATGCGAATTTGGATAAACGAGCATGTACGCGAGAAAGGTTTCATTTACCTGTGGTAGCCTGGCACCGGCGAGGAGAAGGCTACAGCCAGTATTCCGAACACGATTAGCTGTAACACGAATGTGAATTTGTGATCGTCCACGTCGTTGGGTAAAATGCACCGCGACGATTAACACGCGTGTCTCGTCCCGCCTTTATTCTTCCTTTTATTCGAGTTTCACCGACTCGCGTGTCACGTCAGGGTGAAAGCGTCCACCACTCTATTGTTCGTTCAAATGAATTCGCCGATATTATATATAATAATATTATATATAATACGATATATATTTGAAAATTTTTTCATTAAATCCAAAAGCGAAGACGAGGCACCAAGAAATTATTCACAAAATTTTTTCTCTTTGAATCTTTGAAATTAGGTAGTATTCTTGAAAACCGTAGCCGTAAATGTTTGCACGCAACGTGCACATGGTTTACTTGATCCACTGTATCGAAACTGAATTCACGAGGGTGGTTATCCGCGAGTCACAATCTCTACTCACAGCGATGGTTTGGGAATGCATCCTGACCGTCTGCTTCGGTTCCTTCCGTTCCAAATAACTTTTTCGATGCTCTTCAAGAGATTCGCGACGCGAGGTCCGTTAACGATGGCTCACAAAGAGGATGGAAGGAGGTTCGGGCCGCGATCGATGTTTTACCGGTGTCGATACGTTTCTGGCTTTGAATCGCCGGGTGTGTGCTTATAAAGGATGAAGCGAGGTAGCCAAAACCACCCGGTGAAAAGCCTCGGCAGGGTGGGAGACGGTTAAAGTCGCTCGAGTTCACGGTTACGTAAAAGCTAGGAAGCGGCCAGCGGCTCCTTCTCCGATTACGTCCGTTTCGTTCCGCGCGTATGTAACGCGCCACGTGTGCGTCCACCGTCCACTGTATACACGATTGTACGCTGTACGCACGGAATTACTCGCTACAGACTAGCTTGACAGCTAGAAGAACACCACTCGTAATTAACGATATCAATTCGTCCATCGTTGCCTTCGTTACGTGTCCATAATCGTAGACGAGTTTTCGAGAACGCGGATAAATTGGAAAGCGGAAAGTCGATTTTTTACTCACGGAACTCTCCGCACGTATTTTTCGAACCAGGAATCCTCTTGCATCTGGATCGCGCATAGGCATTTGGAATCGAACTCTCGAATAAAATTAAATTTTAATGAAACGCACAGTTGCGACACGCGAAATAAAAATTTGCGAAGACGCCGATTTTTATGCTTATAGTCGCGTAATCGTCGGTTGGAGATTTATACGACGGCGAAGATTTTTCGCTTTTAAGGTGGATTAAAAATTATTATCCGAATTCGGAAGATACGTGGAAGTGTACTACGTATGGATACATACTCGTAATCTGTGTCGTTCCGGTGCGCTGTAACGCAGGACGTCGGCAGAATCGTCGTATTACGTGATCGATTTCACCCAAATGTCCGCCGTATGTGCAGTATAGGTACTGCGTACCTTGATTTATCTCGATCAAACGGCAACCTTTTAATACCGTTGTATAAGTATTATTCTTTTCCAATCGATCCGAACTTTTGCTAGTCGATTTCCAATTATTAGGTAACGACCATTTCGTTTAAGATATTCACGTGTATTAAAATATTCGTCAATATACATATTTTTGCACTGGTTTTGCAAACTAAGAGAAATTCGGTTACGCGTCACTCGTGCCGTGTGTCGAAACGGCGCGTCGTAGAAACCTGATCTAGTCGATCGAGATTGCGACGATCGCCAAAATTCTACGGCATAGCAAGTGACATACCTAATGATAATGATATCAAGCGGGTAAGAAATGTCACGCCTGATTTCATTCCTTATTAGTCATCGAGTGTTCGATTACTCGAATAAGACTCTTCCTGTTTTTCTTCGTTGAAGCCCGTCCACCCTCTCACTCGGCAATTTCGTTTATCTCCTCTCGATCTCGGCGCCCAATGCTTTCACGCCATAATTCCGCAGGAAGCTATAAAAACTGCCAATTTTCATCCTTATCCCAATAATCGAGTGTAAAACTCGATTCAAACGTTCTTTGCGCAATTTCCTGCATCATGCATATCGTGTTACGACAGTCTGACTTGTACGATGATTATCTAATTTTATCTTGGAGACGCGTCGGTGTCCCTAATCGCAAAATACAAATTGAACGATACTAATTTTCTTTCGAATTTCCACGGATTGCGCGGACAGAAACGAGGAAAGTATACTGTTGGAATATGGAAATTCGGGTCAATCAACAATATTCGTAATCGTCGTCTAACCAGCTGGAAAATTTTTTCCTTCCGTCGCCTCGCGACAAACGCGAACAACGATAGAAACTTAATATCCATGATTAATGTAAGATATAATAATTACAGTTCCGTTGGAGCGCGTCGACGTTTTGGATGTTATTCGCTCGCTTTCTATACTGACGATCAAAGCGTTTCGCGCCGATAGCAGTCAGTGTTAAGAGCAAGCGAAGCAAGGTAACGGTCGAGGGACCATACGGTTTATTGGTGTAACGCCCGTTGTATCTTTTTTTTTGCGCGTGTTGCAGGAAGTGGTGCAGCCTGCATACTTAAAATATCCATCACACAGGGAGAAAGTGTTTCGTAACCCCCCGCGCGTGTACGCAGCAAGTACGAGCCTCCGGATGATTCGAAAACGGCCAGAAAGGGCCAGTCGTTCCAAACAGTCTCGGCTTTGCCGTTCCGATTGCGCAACGATCTGGCCTGCGTACTTACGATTGTTCACGGGGTTCGAGCATTGTCGGTGGTGGGCATATCGGAAGAATTTTTCATTTCTTCGGAACGAGATTACTTAACGCTCGCCTCTTGATTTCTCCTCGGTTTTGAACGCGCGTGAGGAAAAAGACGGCCTATTTGCGAGAGAATTGCGACGAAATCCTCTTCGTTGCGTAACGTTCTTGTTCAAAAACGGGACAAGTTGAATGACGATGATGAAAGAACATAGGATTAGAGCGCGAACTGGATAGGAAAAGGTGGAGAAGGGAAAACGCGGGTTACAAGATTTCGGACAATGCGACGTGTATCTACGATATCGATGTCCTTTACGTAATGATCGGCTGCAATAATTCTCCCCACAGCGCCGTTTCGAGACGCGTTTTAATCTCCATTGAGAAAGTTGGGTCGATTTTGAGGGAAATATGCTTCGGTGAACGCGTACGACGAGAGAAAATGAGGAACGTGTTCAATGAAAGTCAAACGTTGGAACCGATCCAATGGGTATGGTGGCATGTCTCATCGCAAGGTATGCGGTGTAATCATAAACGATTTGCTAATTGTTCGCCTGATTTATCGACACTGTTCGATTCGCTGGCATTTCCTTTCAATGAATGCTTTCCGCAAACTATGTACATCCATTTTAACGAAAACGATAATGTTACGTACAATGAAATGAGACGATTAATGCTTAGAGAAAATGGGCAATAATAAAAAACAAAATGTTCAAAAACTTACTTGGACGTGTAAACGATGACGTACGGCGTGTTCAGGTTAGTCGGTCCTCGAGCGTCCACGTATAGTCAGGGTAGTCGAGGTAGCCGGGATCAGTGCGGTCCATGCCTTCGTTGAACGGCGGATTTGTAAATCAGATCTCGGTAATAACGAGTGAAGAATCTGTTTCGCGAACGCGCACAGGTTAACTGTTAACTTCAACATTGGAACTACAAAACTATCGCGATCGCGATACGAGCGATGTCGAAATACACTTCGATCTAATGCGGAAAATCGATCTCTATCGCGAACGCGAGCCACGCTTATTCGCGGTTGTTCTGTGTTACGTGCATAAATACACATATCCCACATATGTATAATTGCTCTGCGATGCCAGACCCGGATACGTACGTAATACTTGTTTCGCACGAGATATCAAATCATCTAATTTTAAGTGTACGTAATAAGTATTGTTTAGTTGAACTCGCGTATGACAGACTATGAACATTGTTAGAGCCGATGTTAACCAACTTCAGAGAGGACTTCAAGGAACGCAGGACTGTTGTAGACGCGGATCGTGGACCGGTTGGACCGAAACCGAATAGTCGTACAATTTTTCTTACGCGTTGCATTGCTAATCTTGTTGTACGAGTGTATTTCCAAATAAACAGATATATTAGTATCAGTGTCGAGGGTGCCGGTGAGTATCGAGATGCAGCTTTTGGATCGCAGCTTTCTACACGGAGATCGGTGAGTTTTCATTTTAATATCGTGCTACGTAACAATTAGATCTAAACCTCAGTGCGTTACTTTCTTGAGCAAACGACTGTTGTGCAATTCTGTTTATCGTTTTACGGAATAAATATGCTTGTACGTACGTACGCGCGTACGTGTAACGTGCTCGCGTTACGTGCATCGTGCTTTCTAATGGTTTCGAGTGCGAATTTCTCTATCAAAATCGATGCCTGTCTATATGGCGTACGCGTTACGTGCTGAACGCGTAGCAATTTCAGAAATTGCGAGAAAAAGATGTTATTACATGCATGATACGATCTGACCAAAAGTTTGGCGCGCAAAATGCGTAAACAGGATCTATCAGCTAAATCTTATATTGCATTACTGCATACCACGAAGCGAGCCCGCCAAAAGTTTTCATGTCTCGAATAGCTTCGCATTGCATTCGAGCCTCGTCGCTGAGTTATCGAACAATTGAATCGGGAATAGCTATTCGTGACAAAGATCGTGTGATTGATCGGTTCGATGAAAACTATTAATTAGGATCGGCTTACGGCTATTTCGTGATTTCGTGTCATTGCCTAGTCGATAATGGCGCCAATGGCGACCGAGATGCGCGTACGCATACGCAATACCGGGCATTCCGAACGTAATTTCAGAATCTAAATTCTAGGCGAAGTTTGTATGTACCGTAATACATTAAATATATGCGTATATACGTAGCTTATGTAGAATTAGTAGACAAAATGATTGCAATTTCAGAAATGTACGTCGGAACATTTCTTTATTTGGGATAATTGAAGGTATAATTATATAGAACAACTATTTTTATGGTTAAAACAATCATAGTTAATATATTTTCCTTCTTACTGTCTTCTTTATAAATTATACATTAATATCATAAATACATCAATGTAAATGCGCGATGCGATGCATCAAACTTGGTATCGACGAATATTTTGTAGTAAAGCATAGGGCAACAAAATATTTTTAAGATCGATCGTGGAAAGTCACTTCTTCTTTTTCTGTTTAACTGTGACTTCCGACTGTGGTTTTTGCCAATCCAAAGGTTTACGTCGATACATAGGCCACGGTGGTATAGTGATTAAAGCTCCCAATACAAATCCTGCACCAAGTATGTACATGGTTTGCGAAAATTGTTGAATAACGTATCCCCAGACTAATCCAACCACCTGCAAACAGAGACAAAGCAATTAACACATGAACGATCAATGAAAAATCTGAAGTAGACATTCAGGAATTAGCAATAATACCCCAAACAGCATGATGATCATTCTCGATAATCTTTCTGCCCGCGCTTGACCATCATAGTCCTGAAATGATGAAAAACGTTTCAATCATGTAATCTCAAACGTTTATACGAATAGGGTTTGGACTTATAAACTTTAACTTGAAACAGAGTTCGCGGTTAGGGTCCTAACCTAACCGAAATTAAGATTCATCGACGTTTCAAGATTGACTCGAGCTTAACTCGTATACTTACCATGTGCGTCGGTATAGACTGGATGTACTGTATCCAGGAATTCATCGTGAACGAATAATATTAATTTGCCGGTCGATTTTAGTAAACAAGCCAACGCATACGTATGTACGTCAACATACGGCGAAATTGACGGCGCATGCGGTGGAGACTCACATAAGTCAGTAAGGCACGCGGGAAATATTCTCGAGTTTCAAAGTTCGAGTGGTAGTGAATACGAGGGGGGAATACATGATTGGAAAAGAATAACCATATGACTGTTTAGTTTTCTGTATTACGAATATATTTGGTCATTGCGATGTCCTTTCTTTGATCTCCAAAAGTCTTTTTCCGCTCGCAGAGAGCAAAGTTAAAAGAGTAAAGAAAGTAGGTAGTGATCACAGCCTCGCGGCATTCTCGAGCGTAGATGAGTTCCAGACCGTTACATCCGATGGTTCCGGGATGCATTTCGCGAAATGAACCGCGTCTGCTACGGTAGGGAAGACCGCGAATAAATTAGCTTTATATTCCAATAAGTTGCACTTCCTCATCATCTCGTGGACGGGTCCTGTAACGCGTTAGAGACCTTTTGGTATTTTATTCACGGTGCACGGTTTCTCCAGGAATAGATACCCACCGGAACACCCAGAAATATACACCGAAATATCAATTTCGCAGTACTCGTTGATCAAGTTTCCTAAAGCGGTAGCACCCGCCAGATCTATGTGACTTAACGCGCTAAAGTCCAATATCAGTACCCTCAACTGTAATACAGCGAGGAAATGAGTTTGTTCGCGATTGCTCGACTGGTGATTTGATTCGTTACCTTCTTAATCTCCTCGAGTTCGTCGTGTTTAAAGTTTCCATTCGACCGCTTTCTCGGTACCAGACCGGCTACTTTGTAGACATCGTCGCGGAAGCGTTGTCGACAGGCAAAGTTCAAGCTTCCCGAATAGTGAAAGATCTTGATAGCCGGTTGATCGATCGTCTGAAAATACAACTATTATTATTGCTTCCGCATCGATAATCGCGAAGTCTTCTATGCGAGAGGTCAAGCGAAGATATCAGACGTCTCGGGTTTAGTGTATTAGACTATCGTTTGCTTCGTACGCCTTTGTATCTATCGGTATCCAGATAGAGCTCGGTCCCAGGTACTAGAGCGAGGGAACAAGTGTAAGGGCGAACGGCGAAGAGGACGAGTTTGCCGATACAGAACAGGATCCCGATTAAAAGACCGTATTCCACGTCCAGAAGGATTACAGAGAGGAAAGTCACCGCCCAAATGACTCCGTCCGATTTGTCCAGCTTCCAAAATCTGTGGAACTCCGTTATTTTCTTCAGCATCCCTTGCAAAGCCACTACAATGATGCTAGCTAGAACGCACTGAACAAATCTTAATTTTGAGTTCCGCGTACCACGGACATCAGATATTGTGAACGTTACCCGTGGTAATGGCTCGAAGTACGGTCCTATCCAGAGTAAAACACTGACCAGAAGTCCGCAAGATATCAAACTGGCCAGTTGGGTTTTTCCGCCGACGGTCTGCTGGATCAAGGATCTAGAGAGCGAAGCTGTGAACGGCATGCAAGAGAAGAAGGATCCGACTAGATTTCCAATGCCCTACAAGTAGTAATCGTCACGCGCGTACTCGCATGGAACGACAGCAATTAGTTTTTCGAGGCTGTTTTCTCTCATCTCTGTATTCTAATAATTACGCGAGCGTTCGTACAGACCCAAGGCTGTCGGCACCGATCGTAAAGCGAATCTAAGACATCGATATCGAACCTGTGCCATGAGTTCCTGATTGGAGTCGATCTCGTAGTCGAGCTTCCGTGCGAAGATCAGTGCCATGGACATGGATACGGCGTAGGACACCATGGTGATCACGAGGCTGTCCAGTAGAACGTTCGGCACCAGTGACAAAGGGGGCAAGGACGGAGCCGGTAAACTGGAAGAAACGCGAGGGAAAGTTACGCGACGAGGACGTTGATTCGTCCCGACGCGCCGCGAATCATTATTAATGAGAAACGCGATTACCCGACTGGGATGTCGCCGACCACCGCGATTCCGTGAACATCCGCGAGATTCAGGTACACGGAAAGTATCGTACCGATAACGATTGCTATCATTTCTATGGGAATTGGAAACGGAATCAACTTCTCGATCCTTGACTGAAAAAAAGTACCGTCGTTATCAGAAGTCGTCGACGCGTCCGCTTCGAAGCAGCATCGAACTTACTTTCAAAGCGTTGTTGACAACGAGAATCAGAATAGTGACCGAAGAGAGCAGAAGAGCGACGCCGTTGAACGATTCCAAGTTGTTGACCACGTCTACGTAAATCTGAAACAATAAGATTCAACGATCGTTATAAATCACGTTCGAATTATCTCCTATTTGAGAAATCGATAAGAGTCGTCGACCTCGTAGAATCTTATTGGCTAGTGTAAGTACTGGTGTAATTATACTCGAGATTTTCGCAGCAATTTACTCGTTTTCTCTTCGACTTATTATGGAACCAAACCCTCCAGTATTTCCGATTTGTTAACGGATTTCTTTACGGAGTTTACTTTATAATACTTGTACGGTATTTGAAAGTGGTATTTTCTTTTCTTTCATCCGAGCCAGAAGAAAGGCGAAGTTACGCTAACGAAGTCGTGCAACTTTGCCGCAACTTTGTGCAAGAAAAATGTACGGTTTCTCACGAGACGCGTGCCTCGCGGAACTCGTTTCTTCATTCGCGTCCGCAATGAGCATCGAACCGATGGAAAGTAGTTTGCGGAATTTCGTGCGGTCACCTGTCACCGCGGATCGAGTTCCGTGAAGCGGACGTCGGAAGCGCGTCGGCGAAGAGTAATTGCTTCGAACATCAAGGAGATACTACTAAAGAGTGGCAGTGCCATGTAATCATTGAGATCTCTACGGTGGTCCGAATAACGCTTCTAGTCGTTCAGTATCAAGAACGAACGTGTCATCCATCAACTTTTACTTTTGATTCTCACGCTCTTGTCGGAAACTAGAAACTGGAAACGTGTTTCAAAGGGAATCCTGGAAGTAACGTAGACGAATGGACGGGAGATCGGATGATTTTCGTAACTCGTTACACAATTTTAGCGGCACGTGTTCCTGGGAGAACCTGTTTGAAATCGAGGTCCGACGAGACGGTTCGTTGCACCGATATCAATCTGTATTTACGAAAGAGGATTTGATTTGAGGAAACGTTATCGGATGCGAGAGAATGTTTAATCAATCTGTTCTGGTAAACGTTATTATCTCGTGAAAAATTTCCATACGCGTTTATTCGCGGAACGAAACACTTGTGAGCTATTCGATTGATAAGCGAGTTCGCGTAGTAACGATTCAAGAAATCTCACCTGAATTAATTTGAACGGTCCCCTGCGATCAGGCAAATTCCTTAAACCTAAAATGTCCTTTACTTGCGACGTGAACACGTGGATAGCCGAGCCAGTGATGAACCCGCTGATGAGACTGTCCGCCAGAAGCGACACGATCATTCCCAGCCGCAACAAATACATCGTTAACTGGATCGAAAGATGTCTAAATAATCGCGATAACGAAAACGGAAATGAAAATAATTAGGGAAGGTTACCTGAACGAGAGCGACGGTGAACGTGACTACGGTGGCAACTTGTACGGGGGTGTATCGATCAACCATCGCGATCCCAGGTTCGCCGCTCGTCGTCCCGTTCTTGGCCAATTGCTCCTGCGTGCTATAAGTCGCGACCACCTTTCCCGTCATCATGCACACCAGGGCGAACGTACCTACGAAAGAGGAAACAAAAATGTATAAGCAAAATAGAATGAGTTGCGTTTTAGACAGGTACTTACCCATTGAATTGTGCCTCGATGTACCAAGGAAAAAGTAAACTAACACGGGAAAGAAAGCCATGTATATACCCACTATGGGTGGCACGTTCCCCAGTATTGCGTATGCCATTCCTGCGAATCAAACTCCTGGTTTTCGTTCTCGTCTACGATTCTCATATTTCTTCTCACCTTGCGGAATGTGCATCACCGCCACGGTGATTCCAGCAACGAGGTCACCCGTTACATTTTTTTTCCAATTATACGTCGATATCCAGTCGATCAGTGGCAGGCAATTCCTCGCGATCCTCATAGGTCTTATTTCCTTACATCTCGCTGAGATTTTCTTCAGAACTGCGAAGTTCGATCATCGCGTTCGTCAAATGATTTTCGAATTCCAGATGCGATTACTTACGCGTTCCTTTCGGCTTGGCGTATTTGCACAAGTCGTCGAGCTCTTCCTGTCGATAGACAGGCCGTCTCACCGTTAATTCCTGGTTGATAGCGGTCATCTCGTCGTTCAGATAGTCTGCGAATTTATCGTTCGATTTAATTATAAGCTTCGAGCACGCATGATGCTCCGGTCTCGTTCGAGTTCGAATCGACTTTGATTTTCAATAACCGATCGTGAAATTAGATAGACCATTCGTTACGTGTCATGCGTGTGTGACAGTGACGTTTATCGGTATTGAGCCAGCGTGAACTACACATCTGGTAATGAGATACGAAATGCGATTCACAAAAGCCGATATCAAGCGCGAACACGCGAATACAAAAGCGTGGATCGTTGAAAATAAACCTATCATGGTGGAGCGGAGAAATCGTTCGATGATGAAAAAGAACTGAACGAGATCGTAGCAAGCCTGTGACTGTTTAGTGGTGTTGGCCAAAGTATCGAGTGTTGAATCTGAAGCGTGCATCTTCCATTGGACCGACTTAATCACGCGCCCCGCTGACGCGACGAAACTTGAAGATCTAGCAAACACCATATCCTCTTCCTTAATCCAGAGATAGTACTCCGGGTAATTAGTCGCCGTCACGTGTTAAGATCTCCCGCGCGATTCATCGAAAATTACACTTCATATTTCGAACGATAACGAAGAACGAGATTACTGTGGTACATACGTATTATCGTAATGTTGATAGACGCGCATTAACAGGATCGTGATCAGAAGACGGCCAAGCATCAGATTGATTTCACTTTTGATCGAGCTCCGTGTTCGCACTAGCATTGTTCTATCAGCGATTCCGTTTCTATTCAGTTTCTCCATCGAGGACTCGTTTTATCCTATATAATTCAAGGTGTTTCCGCGGCGCCAAAGCGTCAACCGCGTACGCGGGCAAAGTTGCGAGAACCGGAGAGATTTACGATCGTCTCGTTTTCTTATCTTTTTAGGTTTTCGATTGTCAAAGATTAAATATGAGATAACATTACAATCGCAGTTTGTTTACGCTAGGGATGGAGGAGCTATTTGTCACAGTTTAACGAGCGATACTATTCTAGTTAAGTGGGGTACATTTGCTTATCGTAGTTCATTATCAGTTTGATACTGGATCGACGTTTCGATCAAAGACCCAAAACGTTCTGGCTTGAATTATAAACGTCAGTTTGTTACTTTCATCGGAACGGCTAGGCAATAATTGTAATTAATAACGCGTACGAGAGAATATCATTGCGTTGTACTAGATTTTGCGGATTACGATTCTTCCGTTTCATCGAACACGTTAAAATCGAAGGAAACAAACATGGACAAGGGAAGACATGAACGCTGTTCTTCTTATTATGAAGATCAACGCGCGATTCGAATCCGAGACGATGCAAACGATATTTGGTAAAAATAAAATTTGTATTATTTGGTTATCTGCTAAAAGAAATCATCAAACTTTATTGTTTACTTTACATACACGTTTGATCAACGAAATCAGAAGAGATCGAAATAATTGACGTAAGATATTTTTTTGCAGCTGCTCGTAACGGGCAAAGTTAGATAGAGCACGTTCTCCGCGATTACGGCGGTTTGGCTGATCGCTTCGCTCCGATTTATCATTTTCGAAACGTCGGTAATGTTTAAGAGTCTTCCCTCTTTTCCGGAGTTCTCCCAAATCGTGTCGCCCAATGGGTTCGCGTTCACGGGCGTCGGGTTTCTGTAAGGACACAAAACTAAAGTAGTGTTCATTAATTATTTGACAAGTTGATTCACGTACCCGTATTTCGCGAAATTCGCCCACATAGTGACTAATTTATGTCGAAACTGGTTGAACGGATGTTTCGGGTCTGTGGGTGCATGTAACCATTCCACGTTGAATATGTATCCAACATCGTCTTGGTGAGCAACACCTGAAGCGATCGTTAACATTTAGTCGTCCATCGTAAATGAGGAATCGGGACGAGTCGTCTACTCATTATCAATCTACTACCTGATACTGGAATACCGTAGGATTTGTGTTCCGCGTAGTTCGATACGTACGACAATTGGTAATAGTAAATGGGATTGTCGCCGTTTTCGTGCGTGAACATTTTTTGAGCGAAATCGACTTGTGCTTTCATGCCGATGGCCGACAAGCCCTGTGGGCAAAGTTTTCAGACAGAATTTTAACTTATTCAATGCGTCGATTAATTATTCATTGGGGAATGTGTTACCACGGCAGCTTGTTTCACTGTTTCGTAGGGGTGTTTGAGGGACGGCGGCAGAATGGGGTAAAGTTCTTTCAAGTATTTTTCCGACTTGTTCAAGATCTCGTACGGTTCTGCAACAGATAATAGATTATAGATAAACGTACGCGCTGTTCGGGAACGTTAGACTTCGCACTTACTTTCCGTGAAAAGCAGGAGTTCGTCGTGCGTGAAGCCCATGATCATAGGCACCTTGTTGTAGTTACCAGTCGCGACCTTGGTCACTGGACACTCCGACAGGAACGGCGGTTCGTCATTGTAGGAATTATCCCTAATCGGCGCGAACGACACAATCATCTATAAATCGGATAAAAAGTTAGCGCCATTCTGAAACGAATAAAACGGCTAGAAGCGCGTGCCGTACTGGTAGTTTGGATGTCTGCTCTACTAGATCCTTCGGATCCGCGTGAAGGAAAGACTTTATCAACTGTTCCTTGTCCAAAGAAAGAAAGCCGAGTTTGGTGGCAAGTGCGTTTGAGACCGTAAGCGAGTCTTCCCTCGATTTGTACAAATACGACAGCGATGTTCCGCTCTGGCAAATGGCTTGATGGAATAAACCTATGGAACGAGATTCGTTTCGTAGGTCTCTTGATACTCGGATATCGGTCATCATAGGTGTATACCAAGCATAGGCAAAAGTGGCTCCCAGGAGCCACTATATAACATTTAACGCTATGTAATATATAGGCGCGCATCTACATTTACATATAGTGGGGAGAGCGACTAGTGTGGATTGCCCATGCCTGGTGTACACGTATGCATTCGAACGTACCTTTCGATTCGTCCGAAAGAACGTGCAAACTGACGCTCGAACTGCCGGCACTTTGCCCGAAGATGGTTACTCTGTTCGGGTCACCACCAAATTTCGCGATATTCTCCCTTATCCATTTCAAAACCGCCAATTGATCCTTCATCCCAGCGTTGCCCGCCGCGTGCGGATGATCCAGATACAAAAATCCTATAACGTTATTCTGTTGAATCTCGCCGATAAACGTCTTTGATTAAACGGAAGGAGAGTTAGCGTACCTAGGGCACCCAGCCGATAGTTGGAAGTAACCACTACTACGTCTTGTTCGATGAAAAAATCGGGACCGAACTCCGACGAATTAGCACATCCCTTAAGGAAGGTACCTCCATAAATCCAGGACATAACTGGCTTCAAAGCCGATTTGTCGTCGAATTTCGTCTGCGGAAAAAGTCGGTTCGATTACGAGAAACACGGATTAGGAAATCGAAAAGTATTACCTTAGGAGTAAACACGCTCAAGTACAGACAGTCTTCGTTTCCGTTATACGCGCCGTTGTTGTCGAGTTGAGGACACTGGCTAGCTTCTTCGACTGCATCCCGGACGTGATCCCACGGTTCCGGAGCAACGGGAGGCTACGGCAACGGTTTAAAACGAAATTAATAGACCGAGTGCACCGATAACGATGTTATTATTCCCTCGTGTAAGTTTTACCCTGAATCGGAGATCACCGATCGGAGGAGCGGCGAAAGGAATTCCTTTAAAAGACGAATATTCGATCGAATTCCATACAGTTTTTAATATCGCTCCTTGAACTGGTCCTGACTTCGTCTGAACCACGGCCGACCGACGAACGTCGGAACACTCGACGGATACGAGGAACAAAAACACTAGCAAGACCGTTCCCTTCATCTCTAAATTCTTCCGTAGCGTTTCGTTTGATTCGAATGCGGAAAGCGCTGCAATAAGACAGCTTTACATTCC